GTGTCTTTTATTCTATATACTCTTCTATATCTTGTCCGTTAGATAGTAGTTGATTAAAAAATAATAAAACTATATTAAAATGCAGTCATAAATCTCAAAAACTATTGTGTAGTCCTGCAAAACCCCACCTCCCGAAATACAGATTTAAAAGGCTATTGAAAAAAACTTTGTTACAATAAAATTGCCATGCAATAAAATTAAAGTGCTTAACAAAATAATAACAAAAAATTGCGGTGTGTAGAGTTTAAATTAATAATATTTTAGAAGCGGAATAAAAAATTGAGAGTAAACCAAAATCACCAAATTCCAACAACTCCAAAGCTAGGGTTCAAAGTGCATATGTCCTTAACAGTTAAAGTTTTATGGTCTAAAAGCCTACCCACAACAATATATGAACTAATCATAGATAAAAGTTCACCCAGTCTTAATTTAATCAGTTGTATCTCAGACAAAAATAACAGCTGACACTGCATTGCAGCTGGCAGCTCTCAAAAGTTTATTAATTGTTAAGTCTTCAAAGCTGTTTAGGACAAACGTTGATTTCCATTTGCTGTAGTAGCAACATACATCCAAACAATTGTGTTTCTGTAGTATTGAGTAATTATTACATCAAAAATGCAACTTCACATAAACCGTATTCTACTCGTTATGTCGGAATATATAATTACCTTTCTTTGAATACATTATACTGACAACATAGGAAGAGTTGAGTTGGCCTGAAATCCACCACGGAAAGAACTAAATGTAATATACAAAAACATTTGCACATGTCGGCGTAACTTGAAGGTTTAAGTCCCTTTTTCCCTGTTGTTATCAAACACATGAACATACAAGAACCTGTACCATCTCGTTATTTTTTGCATCGCATATCTAACCAGGAGATAAAGTCACAGCTATAACCAAACACGGTTTGTAAGAGAGCAACATATTTAGCTTGCGTCTTTTCTAGGGAGGCCGCTGCTTCGGTTTCAGTCCTGATCCTTAATCGGCCTCCATTTTTGGTATGAGCGATTGGCAGTTGGTTGAAAAAAAACAATAGGACTCAAGTCATTACGGTCTCTCTGTGTGGACACAGGCCATACACTGGAGTAGTGAACATTCTGATAACAAGTAATACTTGTAATGTTTCGATTTGGTTTATATTTAGCAACGCAAAAGTGAAAATGGAGGTCGGGCTCACGCTGACGCCTTATCTAAGATAAGTTAGCTAGCGTGTTTTTTTCGCTAGTTTCTAACGCTGTTCTCAGCAAATGGCATCGTGAGTCAGTGGTAACATCTTAGCGACGAGTTAAACTAAATAAATGACGAAGAGCCAACTTTATCTGCAAATAATTTAAAAAACAGCAAACTACTTACCAAAGACCAACCGCTGATTCGATAAGAGCTACGGGCGAATGCGACACAGTTCAGCTGTTCTTCCTCGTCGCGCCTTTCTCGGCTTTTCAACACAGCGTTTGGCAGCCAGGCTGAAGCGCCTCTTACTGCACCGGAGTGAGAACTACATGTGTAAACAGACAGCTGGAAGGCCTACGTACAGTTTCACTTTTCTCTTTCGCCGCTCAGTTTAGCAGGTAGGCCACACCTGGCCAAGACTTGTGTAGGCTAACACAATACTTTAAAGCAGTGTTAGAAGAGGCATCGAACTATACTTAAAGTACCAAAAGTAAAAGTATCCATAATGCAGAATGGCCCATGTCATGATAACATATATTATATTATTGTATTATAATCAATGCACATATCAGCTGGTAAAGGTGAGGCCAATTTTAACCACTTTATATAGCCTACAGCTGGGTCGTTTAATCTATTATAATAATGTATTTGTTTTTTATTTTATATGAATAATTAGAATCTGTAAAGTAACTGAGGCTATAAATTACACGTAGAAGGGTAAAAAGTACAATATTTGGCCCCAGAATGTAGTGAAGCAGAAGTATGGCTCAGCTGTAGCATAGCTCAACAATCAAAAAGATATAGAAAAAACACTGCAGGTTCACATTTTGTCACAAGTTTCAGTAAGTTCAGCAAATCGAAACTGGTTGGCGTTGCCCCTTTTTTGGATTATTTGTAACATTTTTTACTCATTTACAGTAATGTAATAAAGGCATTTTTATTAAATCCTGGGCTCTGTGCAAGTGTGCCTGAATAAATCCAGAGGCTTTCCTCTAGTATAAAATTGTGCACAAAAGTACAGTACTTGTGTAAATGTACTTAGTTACTTTCTACCACTGACTTTATGCAGGTTATAATTTTGGGGGAATTTTTCCTTTGTCCCCTGCCTGTGACTAGGATAGCTGTGAAGATACTGATAGGCATTTTTTTGGCAAAATGAGCCTCAGGATGGGGAGAAGTAAAGAAGTATTATACTATACTCTACTACAAAGAAAGGCAATGTAGGTTCATGATTATGGTTTGGTACCCAATAGAATCTGTACATATATATGGTTTGATGCTGAGGTCCTATGTAGAATGTCCTTATTTGGATATGTAGTAGCCTGAGCTTTTTGTAAGTTCTGTAAGGGTTAAATACGCCCTGCAGGGACAGTGACCATCAGAATTGGGTGTGTCAACTTGTCATCTCCTCGATGGCTTCTGCTAAAGACATCTGGGTCTCCTGAAACCTCTTTCATCATGAGGTGACCAGCTCACACATTTCCATCACAATTCAATTTGTTTGTTTTAGGTGTTAATGTAACTTCAATGTTATTTTTGAGGATGTAGAACAGTTTTAAACATTTTGCCCCTGTTTTCTGCACAAGTGTGTTCAGAGAACCAGCAACTCTCAGACATACAAGAAGAATTTCCACGACAGCTTTTATCAGACTGCTTTAGCTGGAAATTGAGAGTCTAAATCTACATTTTTGGAGTGATCTCTTTCTTCTTCTCTACATTTAATTACCCTTATCTCTGAAGTCTTGAACCTCTCTTCCTGTTTGTGACATAAAAATGTGATCAACTTTTATCTGCTTAATGACACAAACATACATTAACACATAAACAAAAACACAGAATTCACAGTTTTATATTTTATTGTTTCAGATAACATTATCATGACCATGCTAACCATGCACAGTGTCTACAGAAATTACATCACTTAAAGAGTTCATCTGGCTGTGAGAGAATGTTTGGAGCTATGGGTATGAACAGACTTGAATGCTTTTTGAAAGGGTTGTATGTATTACTTCTTTGTACTCAGTAGACTTTCCTTAAGATCAGTCTCCTTTGCAAAAATGTGGACCATCTGTTTGAATTTTTGAAATATACAGCAAATCCTGATTTTCAAATACTGTATGTGACTACATCGGCTATTTCACGTAGGACAATTCAGAAAGCCTTACCAGGCTATGCATTGTATGAGAAACACAAATCTAAATGTCACTTCACAAAGTGACAAGATAATATGTACAAGCTGTTGGCATATATGTTTGCAGCATGGCGGAAATGGTGCGTTTCAAACCAAGGTTCAAGTATTACAGGTCACATACAACAACTCCAGTGGCCAAACAGAAAGGATAAACACACAGCCAGAAGACTGTAAAATGTTTCAGCACAAAAACTAAAGTAACTGATCAGTCCCTTATAAGGCACCTCTACTGAAATTACATTTAAACATGACACAGAAAATGAAAAATCGCAGTTATTAGCAATTTTATGAATTGCTCAACAAGTTAAAGGAGATGATTCCTATACAGGGCCACGAGGAACAACATGATAGACTTTGAGAAACTACAGCAATTAGCATCTTTATAGCTACAGGGCACACTTCCAAGTTGATTGTTAAGCAGACATCCCTGCCCCAGTGCACTTTAGTCTTAGAAGTCAATAGCCAGATATCTATTGATTGGAATCTGTATGTTACCGTCTGATAGATTAATGCATCCATTAGCTTTATGCCCAGGAAACCCCTCACACAGAAAACATTTTAAATGATGTGAAGTTGCTGAGCTGTCACTATTTCTATCATAAGAGCTCGATTTAATCGATGGAATCATTGAAAAAAGGGCGTTTCGCCAGTGAAATAAACTTCTGTTGTATATTTGCACTAATGTCCAAGTTAGTGATTCACTCTAGTCTTCAGCAAACAAGTAGTAATGTACCACCATCCGTGTTGATGCCATGATTTTTTTTCTTTTTTTTACGATAACATTCAAGTTGCCAGCTTTGGACTCGTCTTTCTCACCCACGTGCAGTTAGAAAGTCCCAGTTAAAGATAAAAAAGGAATAAAGGGCATCAGAAGAAAATGTGCATTAACAATCCTATGATCAGACCTCGCTTTAAATCCATTAACTTCCGGCTAAATAAATCATCAGTTCATGCATGAAGATCATTTTTGAAGTATTAAAAAATAGGGTTAGGGTTAGGGTCATTAAAATGAAATGGTCATGCCTTCCCAGCAACACACTGAATTAGACTGAAAGGCTTAATAGGGTATATGTGGAAAGGCAGCAGTACAAATATGGATGCTCTGAGTGGGCTCTATTACTCCAGTAGTAGGGCTGAACTGGGACCCAGTGAGGGATCTGTGCAGGGAATATTAAATATTCTTACCAAGCTACTGGATGTTATCAATGGTGTGTTTAAATATCTATATTGAAATGATATTTGTCTTTTTTGTTATTTCACATATCCAAACACACCTGATCTCCCTGACTCTCTTTCACATGTGCTCATCTTGCACACAAACAAAAAATCAAAACTATAATCTTTGACACATCATTTCAATGCTCAGTTGCTATGTGATTATAATATAAGAGATGTTTTGTTTCTATTGCAAGTCATGGTTTACAGTTTTCTTTTTTTTGTAAGTCAATCTCTATGGCTCTATTCCCATAAATGTAGTGGCACAGGGGCACATACTAAAAATGTGACACCCCCTGTGAGTATGTGTGTGTGTGTGTGTGTGTGTGTGTGTGTGTATGTGTGTGTGGGGGGACGGAAGAGAGAGAGAGAGAGTGAGAGGGCAAGCGAGAAGTGGGAAGAGAAAGACAGAATGAATGGACTACTGGATGCTAAGTTTATTTGAGGATGAAGACGACATCCCAATGAGCTTTGAGTCTGACATGGGACTGACAACACCCTCAATGAGGTTCTTGTTGCAGTCGCCTATGTTGCTTTCAGAGGACAGTTTTGGGTAGGTGACGCTGCCTGTCAGGTCCATCAGATCTTCTAGAGCGCGGGTATTACTCATGCCACTGTGCTGGGTTTCGTTGACTGGCGAGAACTCTGGGATTGAAATCAGCTCTTCCTTTGAAGCTGGGCTGAAATATTAACGATTAAAAAAAACAGCAGTTACTTATAATATCCAGGACCTTTAAATAAATTTGGCGCAGAAAAATCAGATGTGGTAAAATCATACTAAGATTTTTCAAAATAAGACCATCACATTAACTTCATTCTGTCAAGACTTTAAAAATAAACGGTTACCTGATGACTCACCTGACCTCCATGGACTGCACCTCATCACATGACCTTGTCCCCTTCACATCTAGTGGCTCCAGCTTAATGACTGGCGGTGATAGGTGTCCCACCGGTGGTGGTGTCACTGAGGCTCTAATAACCTCAACCTGAGACCCTCCTTTAACCTTTTCCTCGGCTGCTGACACATGCGGGTTTTGTTGTTTGCTTCCCTCATCAGTTCGACGGCTACTCATCAAGGCACTTCCTTTATCCTTCACTCCTCCGTTCATCATAGCGCCCTCCTTTTGGCTGGCTTTGGCATCTGCTTTCGGCTTAGTTGGCTCTTTATTTATTTGGTCTGTGGCTTTAACGTTTGCTTTGTGCTGCTTGTTTACATTCATCTCCACCTCTCTTCCCTGTTGCTTGAGAACGCCGGCTTTGGTTTCTTTGTTAAGCTGGCTGCCACGCTCTTCACTGGATTGTTTGGTGTCCGGTATCTTGTCAGGAACACTGTGTGTTGGTGTCACTTGATGAGTGTTGTTTTTAACTTGCACACTCTTCTGCCTGTCCGTCTGTGCTGCTGCTGCTGCTGCTGCTGCTTCTTTCTTTACCGGGACACATTCCTTCGTGTTGACCTGGACTGTGACCTGCTCTTTAACCTGAAACTCAACGGTTTTGGAAGCTCGCTCGTTGACCTGAGCATTAGTTTGAAGGGTCTTTTCATCCTCTGTGGAGAATAAAAATAAATAAAAAAAATCACAGTGGGCTTCACTTTATTTGGACTGTCCAGTTAACATTAACTGAATTTCATAGTAGAAGAAATTATTCATTGGTCCAAAATGAAGACTCAGCTCTATTCTGTTCCTGCTGACGGTGGCAGCGGTATTACTGGACAAGTTGATACTAAATATTGACATTGGCTCAATTGTAAAACCCAAATAAGTAAGAGTATTAACACAGGACAGTTCAAATAAAGTGTTCGCTCACACTCTACATAGCAATCCCCTAGAGAGAGAGTACTGAATAATTCTTCCAAGGGCATTTTCAAGAGCAGCTAATTTTATAGCCCCAGCTCCCATGGTGCTGCTCTACAGTGAAAGGTGCCCCATCAGCACCAAGAGTATAGTCCTCAGCTGCTGCTCCATATTCCAGAAAATACTTTGTAGCCCACACTAGATGGTTTTTAATGTGCAGAACCAAAAACAAGCAATTTAACAATGCAGGATTCTGCTTGGTCCAACTGAAGCTGATATAGGCAAGGATCATTGCTGCTCATTCCAAAGCCAAAGCATCAGAATTATTACATAACAAAACAATAATGACAATGCTGGAAACTTATTGGCATCTCTCCCCTATTGAGATTCACACAAGCCAACTCATAAAGACGTAGCTGTCTGCTGCGCATGCTCAAAATAAGCTAATAAACAAATCAGATCACAGACCACACATGTCCTGTTTGCATTATTACAGCTGCCAGGCATAGAGCGAGGGGCGGAGTGAGCACGAGCAGCAAGCAAACTGAGGTATTTGCAGGGTGACTGAATAACACACTAACCTGGTGGCGAGACGGACTTCGTCTCCACCTGCTCCTCCTTCTGGTCCAATGCAGAACAGAGACCAAGATCAAGTCAACGTTTGTGGTAATCAAAACACAAAAACCAAAGTATCACCAACAGTAGAATTTAATAAAGTTAATAACAGAAAGTCAAAGTTTTAATAAATTTACGTTGAGGAAAAAAAGAAAAGAAATCTCGATCACATAATCGGCAGGTGCGTAAAGGCAGCAGGTCTACTGTACGAGAACAGAAGGCGTCTCTTACAGTACCTTCAAGTCAGCTTCACCCTTCCTAGTTCTCTTCATGATCTCCTCAATTCTCTGCAAAAAATATATCAACATTTAATCACGGTGTGAACTTTACAGAGTTGAAAATATTTCAAGTGCAATCAGCATGCAGAGAGTGCTTGGGTTGTCCTCTCTGAGGGTTTTTTTTTCTGTTCAAAATAACCTTTTTTCTTAGTTGCCTCTCCTCCTCTTCCTGTTGCTTCTGCAGTTCTCTGTCTTGCCGTTGACGTGCTGCGTCCTCCTGAGCCTGGACTTTGGCTTTTTCTCTCTGTTAAGATCAAGATGAAATCTATTTGTAACCAGAACTGAAGACAGAACTTAAATGACAGAGTTTCACCAAAAATTCCTGACCTCTTTGTCAGTCTGGGTCTGCAGCTCCTTCTCCTGCTCCTCGTTCTTCAGTTTGTGAGGATCTTCCTCATTTGTCACCTTTTCCTTTGCTTGTTGAGCCTTCACCTCTTCCTGTTGCTGCTCCTGTGCGAGTTTCTTCCTCAGCTGCTCTTCCTTTATACTGATTGGCAGGTACATACACCCGTTATACACATTTAAACACATTCCCGTTCTATTTAATGCCGTCTCTAATTCATGATATATTCAATGAACCACCTTTCTTCTTCCTCTTGCTCCCGTTTTTTCTCCTCCAGTTCTTTCTGAGCTCGAGCCTGACGCCTACGCTCTGCCAGCAACTTGGTAGCCTCCTCTGCATTTGTTGTGCCAGCTGCCATCTTCCCCGCGGATGCGCACGGTGCTGATTCTGTCACAAACAGAAAGACTGATGTAAGAATCATCCAAATGTAGTAAAACTGAATGCTGAATGAACAAATACTCTACTATCATCACCTTTTTTCATGTCCCCATCCTGAACGTTGCTCTGTGTCTTCTTCTCTGAGGAATCCACTTTGGCAGACATGTGGTCCTTTCTGTCAGGGGACTGATTTTTTTCAGACGTGTCGCCTTTGAGGCGCTTATCAGAAGTTTCAGCCTTAGTAGATCTTGTTTTAGTGATTTCATCATTGACCACATTCTTCTCAGCTTGTGAGGATGGATTTGTGCTGCTAACGTCGGTATTCTTTTTCACTGCGGTCTCGGCTTTGGTTTGTTCGCTGTGTTTTTCCACCTTCTTGTCTTCTGCTTTCATGTCATCACTGGACATGTTTGGACGATGTCTTGTAGGGGAGTTATGGTGCTGATGTGCATTGCTAGGAGACTGGGCACGTATCTTAGATGCCAGCCTGCACACAGATAAGAAGTTAAAGTTTCATAGATAGATAGATAGATAGATAGATAGATAAATACTTTATTTATCCCGTAGGGGAAATTCATGTGTCCATTAGCTCATTGTTGATAATAATAAAAACAGTTAATAATAAATAAACAATAATAATTAAATTAGCCCACTTCCTTTGGCTGAGTTGTTGTATAGCCTGATGGCACAAAGGATCTCCTGAACCTCTCTCTCATGACAGGAAAGAAAATAGTGCTGTGCAAACAAGGTAATGGTCCCAGCTGACAGCCACCTTTTTTTTTGCCCACCCTTCAACATCAAACAAATCATCTTACTTAGAGGAAACAGGGGAAGCCAAGTGCTTGTTGACACTAGCAGGGGATTCGGATCTCCTCACAGGTGATCCGCAACCTGGTGATGCAGTTCTTCTGTCTCTGCGCAGCCGCTGTTTCTGTAGTAATAAGCAATAAGATCTTCCCGCTTGTATCCATTAATGTTTGATTCTTATATATGTTATGTTGGTACGTTAGTAGGTACAAGGTGTAAGGACTGACCTTGGGGGTGTTGGGAGTGGACTGCGAACCTCCCTGAAGTCCAGCTCTGTTGTGATCTGCAGGGTTGAGCGAGCTGCAGAAGGGTGACCTGTGAGGACTGCAGGGTGCTGCATGATGACAAACATGATGCTTATCAAACCAGATGATGCTAAATAACAAGTGACAGAGGGATATTAATACAGTAGCTGGGGGGGGGGGATGCTGCCTGGACAGTGTGTGTTGCATTCAGCTGAAGCTTACAAACTCATTTTTGCAGCAGGCAGAGATGATACTGCAATACAGATTAATATGAAGGTCGGTTGCACTTTAAGCCACAATCTTAGATTTCCAGTATAACTATATTAAGGATATCGGCATCCATGTTTCACTGAGTGATACATTTCTCTTCTCTGGTTGAAGTTGTGGGCAGAAAAGCTGCAAACTTAGAGCTCAAATGTCAAAAAATAATTCTCAGCATCAGATGTTATTCAACACTGAGAATTTTTGCATATTTACTTTTTGCAGCAATAGATAAAAATGCATCATGAACTTTGTACAGATCAGCTCTGTCCTGCTGGACTGTCTGAAACGGACAAACAGATACGAAGGGAAACATTCTTGTTGTGGTTCTGCCAGTAAAGGAGGTCATTGATTTCCCTTCATTAGACCAGGCCTGACTGGACAGGATAGGATATTGAACCTACGGTTTCTCTTTCCACTGCCAGCGTGAGTGACTGAGCTGAACAGTCAGACATAATGCAGTGTGTTAACGCCACAGTTAGTAATCTTTTTTAGAAATGAATCCCTGAGTTTGTACACTACTACGCAGTATGATGCAAGCACACACATGCCGTGGCTGTGAGCAATAATCCCAACAATAACTCACACCGTGCCACACCCACAACAATATGAGCAAATGAAGACACACACGGACGTTGTGCAAACTCACAATCACAAAAGCAAAGGCCCTAAACATGGAGGGCATCTTTTTTTATGCCACCTCTTGTAACTTCTCATCCCTCTGTCACCGTCTGTAAAGAGTCATCTCTGAAGAGTGCAGCCATCTCAGTAGGATGACTGCGTCTATTTTAGGGCACATATTTTGATTCTAGGTCATTTTGGCTTAATCTCCAAAAACTGTCTGCTCCAGGGACCTGGAGTCAGCACCACTTAACTGCTTTCATTTTGAAACTGTAACAGATACTCCTTACACACCTACACACTGTGACAATAATACCCCCTGTGTTGGAGGTCATTGAGATTCTCACGTCGTTTTATCCAGTAGTCCTTTGGCCTGTTTGTAATTACAGGGGCAACTAATCCAGAGGGTTGATGTGTTGGTGTGTTTAATCAAGGAAAACATGTTTCTGCCAACATGACTCTAGTGTATGAAACAGCTGATGCTGGTGCATTTTTTAACTGTCCTTTTCTGCACGGTGGTCCACATGAAGTCGTACTGCGGAGTTTGCCTCTACAAGGGAGGAGACAATGAAGATTCCTGCCACAACATTAGGAAGATGGAAATGTTTTGGTTTGGTTTTACCTGAAAAAATAGGTTAAGACCAGTACTTTAGAAAAATGTTAGTATAATCACTACGAGCACAGTCTTTCTCCAATGATAACTCAAAGATAAATGCCATAGCAGAAGAGCACAAACACAGCAAACATAATTAAGCCTGCAGTACATAACAGATTCCTTGCAAAAAGACAAACCTTTAAAAAGTCCAAGAACACAGCAGCGTCACATACATGCATGCATCACAGAAAGACAACACATTTTCCTGTGGTGTAAATCGAAGTTTCAGCCCGCCCAAAAAACCGACACAAACATGGTAACTGTTGGATGAACAGGAAAGGAGATACATTTGGGAGAGCAATGGGGAGGGGGCTTAACTTTACCAGATTCGCTGACAGCAGGAAGGGGGGAGGCAATGCCATGGGAAAAGGCGGAGGCAGCAGAGAAAGGGAGTGGGGCATTCTCACTGTCACCTATAGGCAGCAGGCGGAGCAGAGCAGAGCAGACAGAGCGTTATGAACAGTTTATCTGAGCAGTTCCTCATCCAGCTGTAGAGACCTGGATGGGAGTTCACATAACAGCAGGCATGTCGTGATGTTCTGTAACCACTCTTTTTTTGCTGTCTGATTAAAAACCGCTATGTGTAGTAGAACATTTCCAACTGCGGTGACGCGCCAGTGGTATCAAACAAGACCGGCAGACAGAAATCCACTGTGTTGTTTGTGTGGACGTTTCCATTATTTCAATTATCCACAACAACGTGGACGTTTATAACATGTAGTTTGGTTCTACATAGACACCAGCACAGACACTGTATGTAACTCCATCCTGTCTCTGTGGGAAACCAGGAACACCTTTCTGCTCATGCGTACTTCAGCAGCCAGGCTGTCAGCAATAATCAGGCCAAAGGAAAGGCTCTCATTCACACACACACACACGCACACACGCACACGCACACAGGCAAACAGACAAAGTCATGTCTCCAGGACTTCAGAGGACATTAAATTGACTTGCACTCATTTCCTGGAGACTTACTCTAACCATAAACAAAACTAAGAACTATTTGCCTAACCCTAACGTTACCCAAACCTTAACTTAACCCTAACCTATATAAACATGTCTTCACCTTAACATTTGATGATGTACATTACAGGGACTTGCTTAATGTCACCACAAGAAAGACAAGTCCCCATAACGTGACTGTATTAACAGATTTTGGTCCCTACAACATGAGTAATACCTGGACTACACACACACACACACTCTCTCTCTCTCTCTGTGTGTAACGGTATCTCACAGAAATACAGCAAAATGCAGTCCTTCCGAAGAACAAACACGATTTTTCTTCCATTTCCTGCTGTTTCAGGTCATTCACATTTATCTCTAACTCTTCTGTCGTCCATGTGTCCAAAAACGATCTCGGTTTGCATCTGTAAGCTCTGTCCTTACCTGCTCCTGTCGGGCAGCCCCTGCTCCAGCGTTTGTTCCTTTGTTCCAGCTGAAGGCTTCGCTCAAGAGAGCGTTTCATCAGGGCCTCCAACCGCTCCTGAAGGCAACACAGAGGAGCCAACTTTTATTTGAATGCTGTCCCTTCACCACTGGCTTTGTTTCTTTGTAATACCACGATGTCACAGTCCAGCATGATATTTTTTTTTTTTATGTATTTGGAGGTAGGCTTTTAAGTCTGTGCGGACTTTGTTCATTAATGTAATATTTAACACTCAAGAAAAATATGTAGCCATCTTATATTCAAACAGATTAACTTAAAATCAGATCAAATCAGCTCAGATCACTGCACTGATTTCAGATGCTTACACACACACACACACACACACACACACACATAAGACCACAAGAATTTTAATCAGCTGACCCTCTCCTCCTCGAGCTGCTGCCTCCTCTTCTCCTCCACTGCAGCTCTGCGGAGCTCCTCTTTCTGCCTCTGCTCCTCCAGCCGCCTCCAGCGTTCCTCCACTGTGCGTTCATACTGGAGCCGAGCTCTGCGCTCCTTCTCCCTGATCAGCTGTTCCCTGGCCGCTGAGAGAGAGAGACGAGACACATTTTTTTCGACACAGGTTCCCAGGAAAAAATTGTGAATGAGTTAATTAACCAGTGTTATTGCTGGTGGCCTTTTGCTCTTCGGTTTGTCTTGATATATACCATAGTGGAAATAAAATAAGACTTTTTTTTTAAGCCAAAAACAATTTGATCAATGTATTTAATCTCTCATCAATAGACTTTTCTTTTTTTTTTTAATGGTGCATGTATTTTTTTTAATTCTTTTTTGATTTTTAATGTGAACCTGTGAGTGTGAACCTGAAATTTTGTCTCAGTCCACCCTCAAGACTAAATCGTGAAGATTGAAATCCTTGTCACCATGAGGCAAGTGCAGGAGCCAGAGGATTAACTGTGAGTGTGAGACCTACTTTTGCAGACTATTCTATGTTACTGCCACATTCTCTGAAGTGACAATGCTCATCATATCAGGAGCTCAGTGAACTCAAAATGAATCCTCTGTTGGTTAGCAAAGCTCTTTCCGTAGCCAATTAAACTGTAAGGACGAAAAACTTTGCAGGGAAACTGCACAGGAACAGAGACCTACAGGCATTTCAGAGCTTCTCGGTTCAAAGGATCAGCCTCTTTAGTTGCACGTGTGCCAAACAAAAACCAGGACATCACCTACCCAGACTTCTCTCCCTCTCCTCACGTCTCTCTTTGGCTAATCGCATCCTGTCGTCCGTCTTCATATAACCCTCCGCAGCTGAAAGATGATAGAAGTCACAGAGGGGGGGAAAAAAAAGGCTGTGGCAATGTACCCAATTTAAAGGGCAGAGAAAGGGCAGCTTAACAGTGAAGCAAACAGTGAGACTTACTTTGTTTACCTGCATGGTTGTTACTGATGTTCGCTGCTAAGTGTGAAGGGGACGCGTGTCCATTCATGTGTGGCTTCCTCTCTGTGCTGGATGGAGCTGGAATCACCACGACAGAAGGAGAGAGAGCACACTCAGCTTTGTCCAAAGAGGCATGACATCAGCACCTCAGCGCTGAGCAGCAGTGCTGCTTTCTTACCACCAGAGGGAAACATTTCCTCCGCGCCTGTGTTAAGTGCATTGTGTTGCAAAATGCCAAGTATCCCCATGCCAAGGGCAAACTGCAGCAGTGTGCAGGAGAGGGGTGGAAACTGTCCTTGATGTGATACTCTCCACATATGCTGAATGTTGCTTTTGGTTGTTGTTGCTGAGCTTTTGTTGCTGCTCTGAAACACATTTTCCTGATACATATAGACCCACAGACTCATATTATGCAGTCTATAATGATTCTTTAGTAATTGTGAAAAAAATCTAAATGATTGTGCATAAGATGAAACCACTTGGAAGGAAAGTGTGAATTATTTGACAGAAGCCCGGCAGGATTACTCACTTGTTTTTCCAGTTCGGGCCGGAGAGCTGTGACTGTTTGTCGGAGATCTCTTGTCAGGAAGTAGAGTGATGGATGGGGGAGCCATCTTTTCACCTGGCACACAATAAAAACAAAAGAATACACATAGTATTGATTGAAACAGTAATCTCCTATTGACACAACAATATCATAAATCTCAACGGTTATAAGCGGTATGAATGGAGAGCTTTGCTGGTATATATGGCCAAGAAATTGTGGTCACAGTGTGTGTGTGTGTGTGTGTGTGTGTCTGTGTGTCTGTGTGTCTGTGTGTGAGCGTGTGTGTGAAATCACGGATGAGAGAGGGAGATGAAAGAGGGAGTGAGACATCACGCATTTACTCATAAATTGTAATGAATCTGTCATCAAGGGACAAAAAGAAACTTAAATTGAAGTAAATATTCAAAATTTGAATCCATTTTAATGTAATTTACTAATATTAAGCAGATAGAGTCAAACAAATGTCTTATTTCAGTATATTTAGTTGAAAAAGATGAAATAAATAAATATTAAACATATCTATTATGTAACAAGGATACTGAGAGATGACAGTGGTTGCCAAATAACTACATCTACATCTCGACACTGTGAAGAGCCTCTTTCTACCCCTGTGAACTACAGAGTTAAAAGGTTTCATTCCACAAATTCACTGAATCAGTATATGTGCACTGTAGGCCAGACTGCCAACACAAAGTCAGTCGCTTTACTTGATCGAGTGAATCACTCTCTTTTCAGTCAGGGCTTTTATTGTGCACCGAAACCTGGCAGACAACCCTGACTCCCACTTAAATGTGGTTTGGCAGTCGAGAGAGATGCTGCTGCCACTGCTGTATTTCACTTTGCTCGCTTTCACCTGAACTTCTGTGCTCAACCGACTTCACTAAACACATTACTGAACTCATTCATCATGGTTAACTTGTAGCACTTATCATTTTCCATGATGACATATTGTATTGATTTTTCAGTGGCCACATGGGTAGTCTACCTCTAATATGATCCAGGGGTGTGTTTACAATAGCTTTTACAGCTTTGAGGGGAATACTGCTCATATTGTATCTTATTTCTATATCTTATTGAGCTGTCCAGGCACTACTGTTGAGCATAAGACCTGTTATGAAAAAAATATAAGCTTCAGCAATAAAATTATGTGTACATAAAGACAAAAGTAAAAAAAAAAATTTTGTTTCAGCATTTGTCTTTATGAAATAGTCCGAAGATTTCCAACATACATTAACTACTGTATTCAATAGTTAATCTTTTCCACATTCTCAATGAAGCAGTGAACAAGTGTGACAGGCGCAAGTGTAAAGTCACTCATCTGTATCATATTTGATTTGCTTTTTTTGCTCCTTTCAGGGCGTAGAGGGTCAACACTAAATAACGAAGTGAAATATTCACCTTCATCTTGCTCTGCAGAGCAAATAACAGCAGTCTGCACCCCCCTACAAAGTCATCAAACAATGGTCTGATGCTTTTCAAATCATACAGTGTAATCCATGGGTCTGTCCTGTGTCACAGGCATCAATCCAGTCTTCCTCCCTCCACCCATTTGAACCCTTTTTATCCGATTGAGTCGCGTCATCACAAAAAAAAAAATGGCAACACACACACAGTTTGATTTTTCTTTGAAATGACCCCTTAAATCTATAATGTTGATATCTACATATATATGAGTAAATGTACAGATCACACAATGATAGGGGGCAGAGACACACAAAGAGGCAACCCTAGTTCTGTTCTGTTCACTTTCTCTATTGATAAAAAAAAACATTAAGCCTTTTGATTTGTTTTTATTTTAAAGGAAATAAATATATTTTTGACGACGCACCTCACAGCCTGCAAGCCGGCGTCCAGTGAAACCAAAATAAACAGTTTTGTTGGGCGAACAAACAGGAGAGTGAAGCCGGATCACCACTGCGCAGCCAAGCATCGTGCACATAAAGCGGTGGAAATGTCAGTTGCGTCATTCATGAGTCTGCTTTAAACCGCGGCGCAAACACAACAACACAGAGCCCCGAGAGCATGAAGATACCAGCCTGACCGACTTTACATCGAGCTTACCTGTTATTGCGTTGGATGGTGCGACTGCTTTTGCCATGGCAGCTGTCACGAGCAGAATACACCCAAATGTATGGACGTGCTGTCACCCAAAAACACTCTGCAGTGATGCAAATGCAGCACAGGTATCCGCTTCTCTCCTCAGCAGCAAGTATGAGCAGCCACAGCGGACACAAACCGACCACACACCATTCAGATAAACAGTGTGAAGGTCATTAAGAAGGCTGTAGGATGGTGGACAGGACAGCAGAGTTTTGTGTGGATGATGGAGGAGGGAGATGCTGCTGCTGTTGCTGCTGCTGTTGCTGCTGCTGCTGCTGCTGCTTGGACTGAAGCGGAGATGATGGTGCGCACACAATCGAGTTTACTACCGATCGACCACACCGTGCGTCGCAGCGTAAGCCCGCCCAGATACACAGGCCATTAACACATTACCGGTAGATGGAGGAGGATTCCTCTCTGCACACAGCTCAACCAGGCACACAGCAAATTTAGAGGCAGTGACATTCAGCAGGACATCACCAGCACACAGAATCAATGCATATAGGCTACTGCTGCTATAGGCCGAGAACAATGTGCCCCCTGATAAGTGTGTCCTAAATTTGGTTTATTTATTACACAAAAGGTTTACCATAAATAATTTGAAGAAGAAAAAAACTACATCACATATCATAATTCAGGGTTGTATAGGATACAGTCTATGTTTCAGAGGGTAGGGATGTTGGTAGCTTCTATGCACCAGTATAAACTAAGGTAAATCGTTAAAACTAAAGACAAACAGCCCCTCTAAATAATGAAGAAGATTATGTAATACCTGTTACAACTAACTATACCAGTTTTGGCAGAATTTTGACAACTGGTTAACACAAATGACCACTGGTCAAGATCATGTGACCTGTTCAACAGACATAGGCATATAGGCCTATTAACATTGTTTTATCACCTTGATACTCCATGGCATTTCCTAATTCTGTGAGACTTTCTTATACATGACACATGATTTTGAAGTGAATACATTTTATCTGTAGTCAGCTGAAAGTTAAGCATGACATCTCTTTGGAGTGTCAGAGACCCCAACTGTAAAACATAGTAAAATACAATGTGAAAACAATACGATACAAAAGAATCACCACTTCAATACTTTTATACATATTGGTTAGTTATTATTGTTTACACACACACACACACATATATATACATAATATGCAGGCTATGTATGTCGATGTCGATGATAATAATGATAATAATGATAATAATGATAATAATGATAATAATAATAATAATAATAATAATAATAATAATAATAATAATAATAATAATAATAATAGTAATAATAATAATAATAATAAAGGACCTATCACATAAACCCCTATTATTTGTGTATTTTTTAAATTAATCAATATTAATTTAATTTAATTTAGAATCGAGTTTTTCCATCACCCATGGTGTCCCATTAGACCAGCGAAGAAGAGGGGGCAGTAGCGGTTTTTCCTGCCGTTATTGACGACAGAGAAGAAGAAGAAGACGAGCGGAGCCGGAAGGACAGAGCTTGACAGAAGGACGGAGCCGTGCCGTGCTGGGAGCTAGTTCAGAAAAGATGCTGACCAACATCTCTAATGTGCTGAGAGCTTGCGCTCAGAGGAATGTAAGTACACAAAGTTTAAACTATGGACTGTCAAAGCCAAAAACTGCATTACTGTCTCTCTCTCTAAAACCTCCAGTGTTCACCCAAAACAAAACAGTCATCGCTGTTCTGACCTTGTGAGGCCGAATGATAGCTCGTTTGGCTAACACAGCGAAAACTGCACAAAAATCTTTATGACAGCTTTGGTCAGTAACGGCCTCAGTACCTTTACATTTCCCTTAATTTTACGTAGTTTAAATCTTTGCTTCGCATTATGGAGTCAGGGGAGAAAACGGACAGCAGTAGTAACGTATGTGAACACCAGGCAGAGCTCATTCTGTGAAGTGGTGGAAAAATAGCACAACCTTTAAAAAAAAAAAAAGGCTTATTTTTATGGCTGTTTATGCTACTGGTTGCCCAATCTGGTTAGTCTTGATTTATTTTTGAATTAAATTGAACTACTAGGATTTATCACAATGCTGAATGAGAGCTGGAGATGTGGCCTGATGTGTGTCAATTGTGCTGCACAAGAAAAAAACTTTGTTTAATTTACAGTGCTATTATTTCACATACTTCGTATTGTTGTTTTTTTGAGCCAAGGTAATGTGCTGTTAGATAACAGTGAAATACAGTAAGTGGCCGAACATGGACTGGAGTTGCATATGCATAGTTATATTTTATTATTTATTTCTTTTTACCAACATATTTGCATTTGATCTGTCAGAAGCAGTGTTTACTTATGCTCTGCTAGTTACCCAAACACATCTTAGGTCTGGGTATCAAACCTTAATACCCTTGTTGTATCATCCAAATGAGTACTGAGAATCAAAAACCAAGTACCAAGTACCAAGTACCAAGTAACAAGTACCAAAAGCTGCCATCAAATATCAGTGTGTTTGCATCTATGTCAGACTTATAATTTTGTATATGTATATATCTTATTGTCTGACCAAATAGTTCCTGATTTGTATTTTTTTTGTATTTTTTTTTAAAGTGGATACTGAAACTAACTAACTTAAATTCCAAACCTTAGCAGATATGAAAGCTTTTTTAATCATAATTTTTCAAATCATCTTCTCTCCCATGTCAGGGGGCTGCAGTGGTCATGTCAGCACGTACATATGCTGACTTCACTACCCAGGCTACCTTTGAAGTAAAGGTAAGCTTCAACCACTAAATTGTATTTGGTACTCAACTGGTTAATGCACATGGCAGTTTGTGTTGTGAGCCCTTGGGTTTTTTTCCCTTCTCTCTAGAAATGTGATGTCCACAAGCTGGATGAGGCCCCGGCCACTCAGGTGGTTATGACTCGTGATGAGGGCCTGCAGTACTACCGCACCATGCAGACAATGAGGCGTATGGAGCTGAAGGCAGATCAGCTGTATAAGCAGAAGATCATCAGAGGATTTTGCCACTTGTATGATGGCCAGGTTGAGTGAACTATAATTTTCTCTAATCAATACATTGAAAAAATATGAAGAGTTTCATCCCAACGTTAGAGTAATTATTTATGTTTGCCACCATGAGATGTGAACAGTCCAGCAATATTATTAAATGGTTGTGTTGAAAAACAGATGCACACAGATGAACAGTATTAAAAAAAGAACATGCAGCAATGGAAATGATTTTGAATTTTATTACATCTCACATATATCCACATATGTATGTCCACGGACCACATGACAAACTGTTTGTTTTCTCCTCGTAGGAAGCTTGTGCAGTTGGTATTGAAGCATCAATTAATTTGACAGACCACCTGATCACTGCGTACCGCGCCCACGGCTACACCTACACCAGAGGAGGGACTGTGAAGGAGATCATGGCTGAGCTCACAGGTGAGTCTGCAATGCTGAGACGTAATCTGAGACACTTTCAGCTACCAGACATTTTTGAGCTCCAATCATGTTTGAGTTTAACATATGAATTGTTCTCCTGTTTTCATTTCACCTCAGCTTTCTTGCCCCCATGTGTTTTTGTTTTTAATATACAGGCAGAAGAGGAGGTATTGCAAAGGGCAAAGGAGGCTCTATGCACATGTACTGTAAACATTTCTACGGAGGAAATGGAATTGTTGGAGCTCAGGTAAATCACCAAAGTCTACTAGCAGGGTGTTTGACTGCTCCTTTATTTTGTGTTTCTTGTCCCTTGTTGTCACTGACCTGACGCTTCAGCTACATTGTTGAGCTGTTTTAGAAAGGAGTGATAATTAGATTGAAAACCACTGACTCACACGGGACTTTAGTGTAAACATAAATCTACACGTGCTACCAGTATGTTGTCAGTTTGATGTAGCTTTGATAAGTAATTGTGAACACATAAACAACTAGAAGGACACTCGGAGGGCACAGACCTCCGCCAAGGCCAGTGTCAAACAAAATACACCAGACCTCATAATAAATTATCTGGATCTGACCCCAAATTGAATGGGTTCTTCCCTGGTACATGCCACATCCCTCCACCGAGTTTGGTGCAAATCAGTTCTGTACTTTTTAATCTTAATCCTACTGACAAATAAACAGACGGGGGTGAAAACATAACCTCTTTGATGGAGGTAATAAGTGTGTCTTGTTTGATAGTGTTTACTGATATTGTGTAAATATAGTGTAACTAAAGTAATGTGGCATGACTGGTCCCATGGGTGCTTCAGTTTTGCCAGAAGAACAAAATACTCAGCTTCCAGAAAGTCTTGATGTGTTTTCCAATGCCATAAATTGCCACGTAGCTCGAGGCACCACCCAGACTAATGACATTACATAATGTCAAACAAATTTAAAAAGGGAGTTCCACGAACTGAGGCATGAGAGGACGGAGAAACAATTATTTTGAGAGTTAGCAAACTTGGCTGGACCAACCTTAACAAGGCTTCCACAAAATAAATTGATTAATATTAAATTTACAAAAAGAGAATCAGGAGCCAAACTTCTTTTCCTTGCTTAGCATCAACCTGTAATAAGAAATCACTTAGAGGAGCTAGCTCAACGTTCAGTTCACACAGATTAAAATGAACTAGTTGACTTTCATAGCTCATAATTTTGAAATAGTTCACATTCATATCCTCCGTTTTTTTTTCTCTCTCTTTTTTTAGTAATGAGCTGCTCTGAGCTATTTTTTTCAGACCCTCCTCCTACCCATCCATCCCCAGCCTTAAATCATTGCCACTTCACTAACAGAATGCATTGCTTTATACTACTAAAGAGTCACAGACAGAGATTACTTATAAAAGTTAAGAAAAACTAATGTGAGCATATATTTTAAGTATATATACTGTGAGTCTGACTTAGGTGAAGGGAGTTTGTGACTGTTGGCTCATGGTCTTACCCTTTCTTAATGATTTCACTCGCAGATATTTATACATACAGTATATATACTGGTGCAGCTGAAGCCATTTCATATTGAACATTTGAAGGACTTTTATACTTTTTTTAAAAATTTTACTTTTTTTCTATGCAAATTATGTCTCCTGGGTCTGAAAAAAACAAGTCTGAACGTCAGCCACATACCGACCAGCATGAATCCTTTGGTGCCACTGTAAAACAGTTTTTCTTCTTTTGATGTTCTTTGGCAGTTAGAAAACAGCTTTTTGGTGCATTACTGCCACCTTCTGGTGCGTGCTCACGTTCATTAGTTGCAAACGGAAATGTTCAGTTCACCTATGACCAAAACATGAGCGTGTTCAATGAACAGTGCTCATTTAACACATTCATGCACAACACTGGTAATGAATGTCAGGTACAGGCAAGTCCATAAAAGATGACATTGACTGTACAAAAAGTGTGATTTTATTTACACCAAAGATATCCAGTCAGGTTATTCTGTATGATGCTGCTGTCACGTGAAAACCCTGTAACTTGTTTTTATGTATTTCATGTTTTAATGTCTATAGAAGGATTAAAACCTTTCTACTGATGAACTCGCTGAAAACTGTGTTGGATGTAACATTGTTTAAACAAATACTTTATATTTTAAGGTGATTATAATGTAACCCCAGACATATCTTGATTCTCCTCAGGTTCCCCTAGGTGCTGGCGTGGCACTGGCCTGCAAATTTCAGGGCAACAACGAGCTCTGTGTCTGTCTCTATGGTGACGGTGCTGCCAACCAGGTATGGCACAGAAATCTCAGCGGTTTTAGTCTAGCTTTGTTTGATTACTTTTGGGATCAATAGCAGCTTTATTCAAAAGTTGGGGATAGTCTTTCTCCAAAGTTCAAGGTTTAATCCTACTTTTGTACTTCAGTGACATGCATTCATTATCTTCCAACCTGCTTATCTTGTTCACGGTTTCAGGGAGTTAAACCCCATACATTACCACATTAACTGTGGATTTGAACCTGGCCACTTTACTAATCCTTCATTAACAATTGCATGTTTTAAAAAGTGCGAAACATGTCTTGTGGAAGCGCTGTGTGTGCTTGTAAACATGAAGACATTGTGCTAACTATGTATTTAACTAATAAATACATTGAACGTTACAAATTCAGAACAATAGCAGATCACTATGTAGTGCTGGTTAAGTTTAGTTTGTTTCTCTACTTTTGAATCAGAGCTGCTACTGATCTTATAGACGACCTGTAACTGAGCTAACCCCGGCTGCTCGTTACACACCTTCAAATTCAAAGCAGGGACATGAAGTTTGTTTTAAGGAGGGAAAATGGTACAAGTCTCCAGAAAACTAAACCAAGATAGAATAAGACACTTTCTAAATATGTTTATATAATCAGACTTTAAGATAAAACCTACTTTGTGATTTACATCTAATGTGAAATATGAACTCTTTATTCCACATTTAAAAAAAACATCCTTTGTTTACTTCACAGGGTCAGATCTTTGAAACGTACAACATGGCAGCACTTTGGAAGTTGCCCGTCATCTTCATCTGTGAGAACAACAGGTATGGCATGGGCACATCCGTGGAGAGAGCTGCAGCCAGCACAGACTACTTCAAGAGAGGAGACTTCATTCCTGGTCTGAGGGTACTGTCCTTACTCATGTCTCTGAACCTTTTTCTCCACTGATCAAACTGACCACACAGAATAGTTCATGTTAATCATGTATTATGGCACAGCTAAGTTTTAATGTATTATTAATTAAAATAAGATATTCATGGTGATAACATCATAACATTATGTTGGAAAGAAGTGTTTGCCAAATGGATGTACTGTAATATAATGGATATACTTAGGTACATAGTATGTTCCATGTACAGTCACTTCAGAAAATATTCAGACTTGCACACTTTCATTGTCCTGTAGATTTCATTTTAAATGGATACAATTGACAGTTTTCCTATCAATCTAAAACATTTTTGCAAATTTATTAAAATTCAAAAACTGAAATCTCTCATTTACAAAAGTATTCAATTTCTTATTTTTAATAAAGTTGCAAAAATGTTTTGCAAATGTTTTCACTCTGTCATTATAGGTTATTGATTCTAGACTGGGCAAGAATGGCAATTTTATCCTTTTTAAAATTAAATCTACAACACAATAAAGTGCAAAAAATGAAGGTGTCTGAATACTCTCTGAAGCCACTGTACAATACAGTGCCCTGTATATGCAATAGTAAACCTGTTACTACCCCAAGTAGACGTGTGATGCGAAACTTAAATAACAATAAGAAAAATGTGAGTAGTGTTGTCCTTTTCCTGTCGATATGATCAGTTTAGTATAAACGACTGCAATGTGTTTCCAGAAAGGGGAACATAGTAATTCAATTAAATTTGGGATATTGTTTTTTTTGTTCAGGTGGATGGGATGGATATCCTGTGTGTCCGGGAAGCAACCAGGTTTGCGGCTGATCACTGCCGGTCTGGAAAGGCGAGTGAAAAATATTGAATCATATTAAGTTGGAAATGTGATTTTCATGTTCTCAGCTAAATTATTTTTGAACTTACTTCCCACCAGGGTCCCATTCTCATGGAGCTTCAGACATACCGCTATCATGGACACAGTATGAGCGATCCTGGTGTCAGGTAAATGATCACAGCTCCTGACCTTTTTGTAAACTTTAATTTTTTTTACAATTTAAATTTTTGCTGTAACTGACTGCCATTAATCTTTCTTGATTATCTTTAAAGCACTTTTTGTCTGGATGTGTAGTGCTGTACTGGACTTTAGAAAATGAACAATATTAATCTGACCTACAAATGTTATCCTCACTGTGCTGCTGCCCCTTGCTTCTGCCAATGTCCCACAGTAGTCTTCATGTATTCTCCTTCCCGCTGTAGTGGCCTTGCAATGCCCTGACCACAGCCTGGGGACAGACTGAACACAGACACTAATACTGGTATTGGCTAAAGCAGACTAGCTCAAATTGATACTGGAGGAATTTCTCAAAGTTGTGATGAGAAATATAAACACACCATAAATCACAGCTTTATGTTACCGAAGTTACTTCAGTGTTGTCTATTGATAAACAGAAAAAGTCAGATTTCTTCTGCAGTGTTAGGGGGGATTATTACGGTTTTAGCACAATCAAATCAATTATCTTAATATTAATGGTCTTTAAAAGTGATGTAATGCTGACAATCAAGATTTTCAAATACTTAGATTGCAACACTTGAATTTGGTGTCAGCTCTAAAAAAAAAAAAAAAATACTGTATTAGTGCATCCCTACAACATCCCTGCACCAATCTCTCCCCTCTCAGCTACCGCACACGTGAGGAGATCCAGGAGGTCCGCAGTAAGAGTGACCCCATCTCCCTGCTGAAGGATCGCATGCTCAGCAACAACATGGCCAGCGTGGAGGAACTAAAGGTAGGGAACACTTGTAGTTTCTGAAATGAAAAAAAAAAAAAGTTGGTCAAACCTTGTTGAGGAATCCAGATAAAAACATTAGCAACAATACATAAGTGTAAAACATACATGTAATCCATCTAGAAAACAGTGGCAACACAATATATCGAAATAAATTCTTTTTATAAAAATATAAAATTCTGTTTTATAGTCAGTTTTTGAAACAGGAGCTACACAAATAATATTATTTCTTAACTGTTTGTTGATAGAATTACTTGCTGATAAAATGCCATAGTAACATTTATGACCACAACATATAGTCACAAATGTTAAGATAATTGGTAGCCATTTAAAATGGTTCATGAGGGTTGGATCACTAGTTAGGGAATATATCAAGTTTGTGACAGTTTTGCATTTCTGCTGCAGTCTTCCTTTGAGATGCAAACCTGCAATGCATTGTTTAAACACAAGAGAGTGCTGGTCTCACTCGATTTAGCTTGTCCCATCTCCCCTCAGCTGAACTCACCACTGCACAAATACTGTAGAGGTCAAGTTGGCCTGAGGCAAACACAGAGGACAGGATTGTACAGTTTTTTTTTTTTTTTACAGTTTTGTTTTAGTTCTTAGTTAAATAAGAAAATGTAAGATGTTACTTTTGTAACACACATTTGTCTGCTATATACTTTGTGTACAGTATGTATATTGTTTGCTACAGGTGCCTCAGTGATCAAGATCTAGTAAAAATATCCCCTAACATTTATTTTCTAATTTTAATGTACTAAAATATATCATTTTATTTATTCGTTGGTTCTAATTTAACAGTACATTTGTTCAACCAAATTTCTTTTGTTGTGCATATGCCCTGTATTACTGTAATTCTCTGCCTTGCCTGTGTTGTGTCTATAGGAGATCGATGTAGAGGTGAGGAAGGAAATTGAAGATGCTGCTCAGTTTGCCACCACAGATCCTGAACCCCCTCTGGAAGAACTGTGCAACCACATCTTTTCCAACAATCCACCGCTGGAGGTGCGCGGCACGAACCCATGGGCCAAGCTGAAGTCTGTTAGCTAAAGTTTTTTTCATCCCTTCTTGATAATATTAAATATATTGACCGCCCCTACCACTCACATATACGCACACATCATTTAATGTTCCATAAACCAGTGCCTCAGACCCAGAGCTTAAAGCATCAGCAAGTAATTACATTTCAAAGCTGTTTCTCTTAACAGCAGGGGCCATATTCACAAAGATGTTCTGAGAATCAAACTAACAAAGATTGACAAGGGCACTAAATGGTTAACACCTTCAGTCCATCTTTGACGTTGGTGGATTAGTTAAAGTCTTCATCTCGTGTATGAAGTGCATGCATCAAAAGTTATAAATGGATTTTAGAGGAAGAAAATATTTAAGCTATGTTTAAAGCATAGTCGGGGTCTCCTAAGAATAAGCACTTAAACAATTTTTTACCTCAGAAGGTTTTGTAAATCTGTTCCCAAGTGAAAACATTTAGCAGATTCTAAATGTGCTTGTTTGATGCTTATCTCAGGTCATTTTTGAGGTGTAATTAAACAAATGTTCATCCGTCACTGCTCATCTCAAGAAGAGACTGCCTGTAAAAATGGCTTTGTACTCTTTATACTAAAGTGTACATGATAAATAATTCAATTTGAGTTCATAAGTTCTTGTCTGTTTATTTTTTATTTAACCCCTTGTTACAAAGACACCATAAAAGGCAGCAGGGTAAAGACCGTCACTATCAATGCTCTTGATATGTCTCCAAATGTTTTTCTTTCTTTATACTGTAAGTAAGAGAGGGTTAAGAATACCAAGGGAAAAGTTCAGAATATTTCAGTTTATCTTGCCAAACCAAACACGTGCCTGGCAGATCTCATGTTGTTTAGAAGTTGAACGTGTCATCTCATGTTGTCACACTCCAAGCTGAGCAGGTGATTCTATGCATCTAGAAGTCAGATGTGTGAAGACGGATGTTCACAGAGTGTGTTTACATTCATATGGTTCTGTTGCAGATACTCAGGTGACTTTTTGAGTTTCATGACGCAAAACAGTAACGGCTCATTTACTTATATTCAGAGAAGCTCTTATTAAATTTCTGATGTACATATGGAGGAAGATGTATTATCATCAATACGTACACTCAAAGTGACCACAATCTAAACCAATGGTGAATGTAAACATTGTGACTTCTAGTCTGAGTGCATTCATCAGCCAAGCTTCACTATTCCAATTTTCCAAGTCTAGGAGAGATGTTGGGTTAAGTATTGTTGGTTCAGCTACTCGTGTATCTGTAGCGTTATGTACCACTCACTCAGAAGGTGTTGTGTGGTATTTTAACACATCAGCAGTGGCATATTATTGGCTCAAATGTGCAGGGATACATGGACATTTTGAATTTTAGTCTGTTTTTTGTAAGTTTTTGAACACATGATGACAAAAGTGACACCTCAGGCAGCAAAATACAAACAACCTGCATATCAGCCTGTGCTGCGAGCAGCAAGCTACCATGTTAGTTTTTACTTATTATTATTCATAAACTTTGTAACAATCTTTGTGGCCCTTTAAAGGGTACCAGAGTGTAAGTTAAATATTAAAACAGACTAAAACTTCAAATGTCAATACCTCTCTTAATACAACTGAAAATGCCTACAGTGTGAGTATTTGTTGTAAACTGTTACATTGAGGGAGGCAGATGGGCCACGGAAATACTCCACGGAAACATTGGTTTTATGTGTAAGCCGCTGTAATAAAAAGACTGTAAGGTACTGTATCTGCGTACTTGTCTTTGTTTATACAAAGCTGTTGGGTAAATTCACAAAGTACTTCGATGAATAGTTGTCAGTGCTCATTACTGTTCAGGAAACTAATTGGTTTATAGATGTGGATGTGGTTAACAACTTTGTTCCTTCTCATTTTCTTGGTGGCACTCTTGCCCTTCTTTTGGATCTCTGTACATCTGCTTTTCCTGTTTTATTTTCCATGGCTGCTGATCCCAGTAAAGGTTCTTCTGGCCAGTGTTGTTTTGCAAGTTTGTTTGAGTCTGATGTGATTCAATATGTGAGGTGGATCAGATTTAAGTGCACATCTCTGATCAGACCAACATTATTGTTCTTAATACAAATTAGAATTACAGCAACATGGTCAGGATTTTTGACTGCCATAGGGAAGAAAGTAGGCAACCAAGGAAATTCATTCAAAGAGCCGTGCTGCTGCTATAGTAGCAGCAACCCTGCAGAAATACAGGTGAACTGGCACATTTCATCCTGGAGCACTCATAGTGACTTACAAGACTTAAATGTTTTTGACAGCAAAGTAACTGATCTTGACTGATGACCATTTGTGAACAATGTGTTGTGCAACCAACCTGGTAACTCCATTTGGTGGATGACTTTCCACAGTAGAGATGATGTCTTTATGTTTGTATTTCAGGCCCTGCAGTTTTGAAAAGACCACAGAGCAGTGGCCTAGGGCTGCTGGCTATTAAATGCTGTCATACAGCAGTTCAAAGTTGAATACATTTCGATTTCTCATAGGCATATACTACTATATTCTTAACATTACCCTGAGGCGAATAATATATAGCTCAATAGCACTACAAACAAATGATCATAAAGTTGAATCAGCACCTCTCTAAAACAATTACTGTGACTGAAAAAGAGGGGATGACGTTTACTTTATCTTCAAGAAGTGAAGATATTCACATATATAATTATGGTAAAATTACAACAACAAAAAAAAAAGTGAACATTTGCATGAGCAAAGAGAAATACTGTCTTAAAAGAAATAATTATGCAGAGTTATGGCGGGAGCAGACATGGCAGGGGATTGCCTTTATGTATCTACCTATTTATTTTATTTATCATGATACTTGTTCACTGGTGGGAGCCGGAGCTTGTTTAATGGACAGAATGTGGAGCAGTAAAATGAAGTGGGCATCAGGAGCTAATTAACTCCAGAAGATGGCAGTAATGCAGAAATATAAGGACGCCAGCTGCTGCAAAACTTGACTGAAGAAGAAGAAGAAGAAGAGAGGAAGAAGGCTCCTCAAATCCTGACCAAAGGCTGAAACGCATTGCCAGTCGGTGGCTACGTGCTCTCGGAGGGAAGACACAATGGAGTTTCTTTGCCACGCTTCACTAAAGCAGCAGCAGCAGCAGCTTTTCTGTGCGCTATGCACCGCTCTCCTCCTCCTCACCACCACCACCACAGTCACATCTGCAGACGAAGGCGCCAGTGCGAGAAACTCCCAGTGTCACAACTACGCGGGAGGACACGTCTATCCTGGAGAGGCTTTCCGCGTTCCTGTGTCTGACCATTCCCTGCACCTCAGCAAAGCCAAGAGTGAGTTCCCCTCCTCATTTCACCCAGAGGTGGCCGATTAGCGTTTGCATCTTCAAAGTGCGCAGTGGTTATCCTTTGCCTCTTCTTGTTGACAGCTGCTGCAGCCTCATGCTGCCCCTGCTGCCAGGACAATAGAAACAAACTGACTGGATCTGTCTGCAGCTGCTCTTAAACTCTTTACTGGTCGTGTCCCATATAGTTGAATTCATATGTGACACCTTAGGCCTGTACTTTAAATCAGATGGTTTTTTATAGGACACGTCATTCTGTGAAATTCATGGGATTGTGCCCCCCCCCCGCCCCTCCTGCACACACGACGGTGCATGGCACAGCACCAACACTGGTTCATACAGACACCAGGGGGTCGGACAAAATAAGAGAAACACTTAGAAACTATCAGAAGCATACATCAAACTCACCCGGGCATGTATGAGGCCATGTAATATGCAGTGTTGTAAGCAAATGTAAGTGTTTGAGTCAGTCATTATACTCCTGGCCTCTGTTCCTCTTCACTTACACAGTTTTTCTCTGTTTGTCATGTGTCGTCATGAGGTTTGAGACTTTACCCCGTGTCTGAGCACCTAAGTCTGCAGTGTTTTTGAGCCTGCAGCCACGGGGCCCTGAGCTTGCTCCACTGTGTTGCTCATTGTAACTGAGACACTGCAGAAATATTTAATGCTTACAATGTGAGAAGAAGTTACTATGATACATTATGTCAGATGTAGGAACTAGGAACAGGGGTCACACAAATTAAAATATTTAGTAGTATTTATTTATCACAGCTACAGTTGCACTAGAGCTGCAACTAAAAATGATTTTCATTATCATTTATTCTGCCAAATATTTTTACAATTACTTGATTATTCGTTTTGTTTATAAAACATTGTAAAATAGTGAAAAAGAAATGTTATAATTTCCCGCAGCCCAAGGTGACCAACAAACCCATAAGCTATTCAATTTAATTCAATTTACTATCATGTGACAAGTAAGAAAAGCATCAAATCTTCACATTTCAGAAGATGGAAACAGCAAGTGTTTGGTTTTTAAAAAAAACAAAAAAAACACTAAAACATTTTTCAATTTTAAAAATACAGAATACATAGAGCTGAAACGATTAGTCGATTGAAATAATCAATCAATCATGTTTAAGTAAAAATTCCAAACATTCTTCAGTTACAGCTTCTGAAAAGTGTATTTATTGCTAATCTTTATTTTATGTTATTACAAATTAAATGTCTTTGGGTTTTTGTACTGTTGGTCCGACAAAACAAGCAAGTTAAGAAAAGAAGGCCATTTTTCACTGTGTGGTGCTCTGACATTTTATAGACAAAATGCTTAATTGATTAATCAAAAAAGCTATTGATGTATTAAACATCAACCAAAATAATCATCAGTTGCTGCCCGCGATATATACGTAACAGAATTATGACCTCAAAACTTATATTTGAGTAAAATCAATGCTGTGTTCTTTTACCTGGATATTTGTGCTGAAATACATGTGACATTTAATCATTTGCAGTATAGCAAAACGCATGTCATGTATGTTTTCAATTTACAGTTACAGTAAAAAAAAATAATAATAATCTGGTTTTATCAGTCAAATATATACTTTTCTTCCTACGTCAGTTTCAAAGCCTTCGCCACACTGGGAAGGAACAGCTGTGATCAACGGTGAATTCAAGGAGCTGAAGCTGTCGGACTACAAAGGCAAATACCTCGTCTTCTTCTTCTATCCCCTGGACTTGTGAGTAACATCTGATGCACACGTCACAAAAATCACTTCATTTATGTTGGATTGCTGCACGGGGTGCAGACTGTGTTTCTATGTTAATGCATTTGCTGTTTCTTCTGCAGCACATTTGTCTGCCCTACTGAGATCATCGCATTCAGCGATCGTGTTCATGAGTTCCGCGCCATCAATACAGAGGTGGTCGCCTGCTCAGTGGACTCCCAGTTCACCCACCTGGCCTGGTAAGATACAGTAGCTGTCACCTTTATACCTACAGGCTGTCAGGCTTTCATGGCGGAAAACAAAACCTAATAATAACAGACACTGACTGAAGTGGAATAATGATCCAAGTACATTGGAATTTCAGTAGATGAATTTTACTGGCTTTGGGTGGTGTTATATTTTATTTCTGAAGGGAAGGGATGTTTTCTTTTCTTTTCTTTTTTTCTTTTTTTTTGTGTCTTGTTTTTGGTTTGATTATTTTGTGTTCCAGAGCTCTACTCTAAGTGTTCCTTTTTAATAGGATCAATACGCCCAGGAAGCAGGGTGGACTTGGAGAAATGAAAATCCCTCTGTTGTCTGACCTCACTCATCAGATTTCAAAAGACTATGGAGTCTACCTGGAGGACCAAGGACACACACTGAGGTACAGGTTCACATTTACATTCATGGCTATTATCAATGTTAACACTTATGCCACTCTGAGGTGCACAATGCACAATAAGTTATAGGAGAAACTATAGTTTGGGTGGGATCAATGTGTCTTGTGAATGAATTTGTTTCATGACTTTTTACAGTAAGTCAGAAGTCAGCATTTTAAAAAACCATGTATAAGTCCATAGTGAACAACTAACATTAAATCATGCTTGAATCTCACTTGTGTGTGTCTCTCTCAGGGGTCTCTTCATCATCGACGGCAAAGGCATCCTGAGGCAGATCACCATGAACGATCTCCCAGTAGGAAGATCTGTGGATGAGACTCTGCGGCTGGTCCAGGCCTTCCAGTACACTGACAAGCACGGAGAAGGTACAAGAAGCTCATTAAAACAAATTCACTTATGAAATGTTTTATTTTTTGCATAGTTCATTTCTATTTAAACATCTGAAATGAATTGACTTTTATTGTTTGTTTTTTTTTTTCTTTTTTATGGCTATAATCTAGTAATGCAGCAGCACCTGAAAACTAATAGCCAGTTTTCAGTGGATTCTGTTGTTTAAGTGCTGACTGGAATTATGTCATTTTTCACAGTGTGTCCAGCGGGATGGAAACCAGGCAGCGACACGGTGAGTATCACTGGAGCTGAGATTGATTTGGATACATTTGGTTACAATATTGTCCTACATTGGATAGAAGATCTCATATAGGGTACCATGTATTTGCAAATCAGTCTGTCTCTGTCCAGCTAGTGCAATGACAAATTCTGTGTCTGTCTAAGAGACAAACTGTCTCAGTCTGTTAAAACAAAAGCCTTCAGATACAGACATTTCAGATAGAAGTTAAGACCAATGGACTGTGAGCGTTGCCTAACTATGTAGAGGAAAGGTCTCAAAACAAGCTGCAGACGGAAGCTACCTCTGGTGTTTTGCAAAAAAACATTTATGGTCAATTTGACCCAAACTGGTGAGCAGGGACATTCACTGAGGATTTTTCATTGTGAAGTGGGAAACTAAGCAATAACTGTGAAACACACAATAACAGACTAGTTTTTCTTCAGGGATCTAAATTAATCACAACCTGTTTTATGGTGTATTTTAGTATATTTCTATTGTCTAGTGTATTGTTAATGTGATTCTTATTATCATAAGAAATACTTACCGTGCACTAATTTAATTTATTCTTTCCCACAGATCATTCCCGACCCTTCAGGCAAGCTGAAGTATTTTGATAAACTGAACTGATCTGCCTTTTTGTTTTCCCAGTCTTTGAAATCCACCACTTACTGAAAGTACAAATAAAATGTGTTTTCATAAAATGCTGGTCTGGCTAGTATTTTAGATCCACTTGATAGTTTTAGCTCAGTCCATACCTTTATTATTTCTGTAGCGCTGAAGGTTTCAACGCCTGCATCACACAGGGAATGAACAGCTGTGAACTGATGTGAATTCACCCAGTGGCTGCCAGATGCTTACTAGCAACAGCTGATTACAAAGTAGGAAAGAAATATAAGTATCATCAGAAGTGCCACAATATTAGCTGTACTGGTCACAGTGTTTGTTTTGAATTTGCTAGAATGTAAATGTAAGGTTAACACAGTAATGCATGCCTTGCCTTGGAAACTAGCCCCAGGCTCTGCATGTCATGCACGGTCAGGCATGACTTTTCCTTGAGCATCTACTCAAAGGATTAAATAAGCTTACGCTGGAGGTAGTCTGAGAACAAACTGCAAATTCTGAGTAAATGGTGTCTATTTAACTGTAGCATCACTCCGTTGGAGTCGGAGTTGGTTAACAACACATCGCTGCTTGGTCCGAAATAATGAAAGGTAGAGAAAAATGAAGGTGCAGTAATAACCGCTGGGAAATGTGTCAAACAACATGCTGATGCTGAGGTTTTACAGGTGGAAACATTGGGTGAAAGTGTAGCTGAGAAATACCTGAGAGATTCTGTGGAGACAACAGTACTGTGTGGTATTTTCTGCAACTCAAATAGTTGTTAAAGTTAAATGAAAGTGCTGGACTGTGTATGAATTCTGCATGTTCAGTACAGGTGCACTGCTTTTAGACCAGTCTGCAAACAAGGAATGGCATGACTGATTTTATAGCAGTTATGTACGAATGAACCAGTTTTTTTAGAAAAGAATATAATATATATTCACTGTCTAGATCAGCCCATGCAACAGGCCCTTGCGACTGCAACTGAAATGCAGGCAAGCTCGTCTTGTTTGTGAGGGAGGTTTGTACAAGTGGAAGAAATTCTTGTTGAGCAAGTCAACCAAATGCAATTACATAAAGCCTGTTTAAAGAACACAATGAAAACTAGGCCCTAACTCTATTCTGTGTGACTAAAAGATACACTGACATCTGAGCACACACACAACAGTCAAGGGTCAGTATGTTTATGACAGTCAACAGATGACAGAATATCACATACAAGATTATTTGGAGCATTGAGACAAAGTCTGAAAAGATTTGACTAAAAGATCCATCACAAAAAAAGATAATATCACAGCCTTGACTGTAAGATACTGCATCTATCACCTTCTCCGATTCATTTTCCTTTTTATTGGAGGTACTTACCATGAACAATATATCATTTAAGCTATATCATTTAAATGGGGCCATCAGCAGACCAATAAAGATTTTGTGTGTGTGTGTTTGCAGAGCAGTAACATATATGACCCCGCTGCAGAGCAGTTGGTTTAGATGTAAACGTTGAATTTCATTTTCACGTGTGGGTTATTCTTTACCCAGATCTACAGACATTAAGTGCAGCGGTCAGGTTTTTTTTCCAGGTCTGGTTAATGTTTACCTTTTAAACAACATTCAAATGAAGTACAGTCTTTGACACAAAGATGAGTCAACAGAAAAGAAAAAGAAACAGGATGTAAGGTGCTGTTTGTCCATATATGGATTAATGGATGGGTTTGCCTCCTCTAGGAATACATAAAAGAGAAGCAGCTGAAGCTGCTGTATCATTCTGTGCAACGCAGCCCATGCCATTCTGTATATGCTGGTTTTCTATTCATTGTCGGGGGGTGAACTCCTGAGGAGCGGATGAAGAAACAAATTTTGCTTTTATTCACATTCAGAGGACTAGTAAGCAAAGGGAAAAAGGGTAAAAGGAGAAAATGGCCAATTTTATATTACGGACAGCTGAACCCAGGGATGTGTCTGACATCCTGCGACTCATAAAGGTAAGTCAAATGTTAAAGTTTAATCTTTTTTTTAACAAACAATAAGACATTTTGACCATTTGACAGCAAATCTATTTTTTCTATTGTGCTATTTATAATTGCAGTTCCATTTAAAAGCATTCATTGGTTTTCTTGTTTCTTTTTGCTATTTAGGAACTTGCTAAATTTGAAGAGATGGAGGAGAAGGTCAGGCTGACAGAGAAAGGTGGTTCAGTTTAATCTACATTATGTTTAACTATAAGCATACATTTTATACATGTATTTTCTTGGAATTTGAAAACAAAAATATTTTCAGTCTTCATGCATTCTTAAAAAGTAACGTCCCACTTACAGATCTACTTGAAGACGGCTTTGGGGATCATCCATTCTACCACTGCTTGGTCGCGGAAGTCCCAAAGGAGCAGAGTTCAGATGGTAAAAATATGTCTCTAACACAAAGCGCCTCACAATTTGACAGTCACATCTTTCTTCCCTTTCTTTCAAGTTCAACTCCTGGTGTTTTGCCCCTAGGGTACACTGTGATTGCTTTTGCCATGTACTACTTCACATATGACCCATGGATTGGAAAGCTCCTGTACTTGGAAGACTTCTATGTCATGCAGGAGTTTCGAGGTAGGGTTGTTGACATGTGGCGTTATATGATGGTGGTAAAAGTTAATAAGTTACAGCAAAAAGGTTTTGCAACATTGAGGGGCATTTCATATAAACTAAGTTCACTCTGTACATTTGATCTTGCACCCACCAGGTCTCGGCATTGGTTCACAAATCCTGAAGGTTTTGAGCGAGGTACACTTATAGCTTCTTTGTTGACAGATTCAACTTAATTTCAACTGTATTCAATTCTACATTTGTCCTCCTGCTTTTTGTTTTATTTATTTTTTCCTTCCCATAGACGGCCGTGAAGACTCGGTGTAGCAGCATGCACTTCATCGTAGCAGAAAACAACACAAAGTCAATTGAGTTCTACAAGCGAAGAGGAGCAGCTGACCTCTCCTCCGAGGAGGGCTGGCGTCTTTTTGAGATTGAAAAAGAGGAGCTGCTGAAAATGACTGCCAAATAAAGTTTACTGTTAATTGACTTGTACTGACTGTTGGTGATGGCAAGAATCCTGCTATGAGTGATTTGGCACAGTCTGAAATACATTTACCAATCACCTGTTACCTTCGATAATAAACTGCTTTTGCTCATCTCAGTTAATCTAAAATTTAAACCTCTGCTGATTAGTGAATGAACATTGAACTTTGGTAATGCTCTACTATACTGCTGGCAGATATTGCTTCATTTGAATTTTTCACAGTACTGTAAATGTAAAATTCTCAAAAGATTTGAGAAAAGTTACAAAATAAATAAATAAACACATGTGTATTAGTAATTCCTAACTTATTTATCATTACGCAACCCCTCCATTTCATCTTGTGACTCTCAGGTTGCAGACCACAGGGAGAATTATTTGCAGAGGGTGTTTTTTTGTTTTGCAGTTTTATTGCCATTACATCAAATGCATTTTGAAACAACTCTTGAATTAAAGATTGAATCTTGGGTTGTAGTAATACAAATACCATGTCGCAAGACAATGTAAATCCTCATGTGCCACTATCTTAGAATCAGTGGTGGAAGTTTTCAGATTTTTTAATTAAGTAGCAAGACCAAAATGTAAAAATGCTCTATTACAATTCATTTATTGAAAATATTGTTTAAGTTAATGTAAATAGGTTGTGTCACCAAATTTACGTAGCAGCATGGTCCCTGTCAGTGTTGTATTATAATACTGGATTATAATTATTGATGCATTGCCATGGAAGTAACATTTAAACAGAAGCTAATTTGAACATTTTTACATACTATTAGTTTAATTTAAAACATAAGCTATATTGTGAGTTATAATCACTTTGTATACATATATGAATTTGTCAGATGAACGTGATTATGTAAAAGTACATTAAGCTCCTCTGAAATATGGCATGGAAAATTAAGTACATCAAATTTGTGCTTGAGTAAAAGTATTTTGCTTTAAATTGTGAATGTAGATTTTTTTTTTTACTTCCTACTTCTGCAAAAAAGTTTTAATAATCTTGTTGTGAACCTTACAACCTTTTGTTTTGCTTTTTTTTTCTCCCAATAATTAACTTGTGATTTGTAGGCGTTTTACATATATTAAAAAAAAAAAAAAAAAAAAAAAAAAAAAAAAAATCAAAGCTATAGTATAAAATTGTGAGAACCTTAACTGGAGGCAAAGCAGTTGGTAGTAGATTGTCTTGAAGAAACAACTGTGTCTGTACATTCCGAGGACGAAAGTGATACAATGATGGGGTCTTTCATTGGAAACTAGTGGGCGGTTTGTTTAAATGTTGGATGCTACGAGTGGAGGTCATAGTTTAATCACCTTTTATTGACCACCTCACCCTCTGCTTATGACTCTGCTGTGTGCGGGGAAGTGAAGCAGTTCTCAGCCTATTACTAGCTACACCATCCTCGGAGCATGAACTAATTAGAAATATACTACAGTGCGCGTTTTGACATAACCATTTTGAACAGTGGTCTTCAGATTATGGCCTGTTGGTTCCTGTCGGTGTGATTTCCACCGCAACCCTTCCGCATTTTCCTGCCGCTCTCGGGCTGTGACGTGTCGTGCTGACGGCGGCCTCGGAGCTGGAGGAGCGGGGGGCTGTAGCATGACAAGATCTGGCTCCAGACGTCCTGCTTTGCTTTCAGCGGAGCTCCAGAAACAACCCCTAACCCCTCCTTCTCTGCTCCTCTCCGGCCCGCCCAAATAACACAAAATTCCCGACTGAATCGTGCCCGAGTCTGGGGGAACAGGCGGCCTGGGAAGCCGAGAAGCGGACAGAGGCCATCCCTGCAGCACAAATCTGGTACGCGGGTCATTTTTGCTCTTAGGGCGCCCGTTTGCAGATCTATGTTTGCATTTGTGCGTGTCCGTAGCTCTTTGTTTTTGCATGCATGTAGTATTTTAATTTATTTCTTTATTCTTACGGAGAGGCCGCAAAGGGCTGGGCCTTTTCTTCTCAGGCCCAGGCCTCAATAGAGGCCGTGATTGGTAATTCAGGCCTATCCGGTTAGCTAACCAGCCTTGCTGAGAGTAAAATGCTTTTTGTATTCGCCAATCGTCGTTGGCTAGCGTAATTTCCAACTGACCATAGCACTTGGTGTGCGGTATACCATTCAGCGGAAGCGCGAGTAACATTTCTCACCAGCGAGGACTGTTTTTAGTAAGTGTTAAAATTAGCATTCGTGCAGACACCATGCTAACAAAATGGCGGACGCTGGTGTGATGAAAATCGGTTGTGGAAAAGGAGTGTGCGTATAGCCTTCCTCCTGCTAGCCTAATCAGTGTAGACCTAACGCAACCTTCTTTCTTTATTTCCTACTTTTATCTTACTGCATGTAAGTCGGTGCAATCAGCAGTTTCTAAATGTGTGTTATGGCTGTGACAGTCGGACTTTGCATTGCGTTTAATCGGCGCTAACGCTTCTCCAGTGGTCAGTTGAAGATACTGCCGTTAATCATCTCATCGGGTTTTACGCTGTAAAGTGTTGCATGAATGAGATGCTGGGTTAGTCCAGTCTCACGCGGAGGTTTTAATGTGTTGGCGGCGTTTTTCAGCACACTGATGCACTGTGTTGTGAGCCGCATCCCCACACACCGTTGTCATCTTTTTCCACCTGGAGGTGGGGGATGGTACATTCAGTGGAAATTAAATGGCACCCCGGTTGCATCGTCCACACCACTGTTTACATCTCTGCACCCCCCACACACACCCCCTCTGTATGTGACAGCGAGGTTTCTGTCGCACATTATCTCACCTTCATCTCCACGATGGATGTGTTGTGTTATTGGGGAAGCATTTGTTTGATTTTGATATAGGTAATTGAAGTAGTGATGCGGTCCTGGCAGTTATGCCACTGGTCATTTCATCACTTTCCGTCCTTTGCCGCAGACCCAAGCCAACACTGCAAAAAATAATTTTCTTAATAGTAATTTCATTGATTGTTGAGCCTTCTCCACCCCCAATATTTCAGTCACCTGGCCAGTGAGGGAGACTTCTTTACAGTGCAGTTTTTAATATTAGGTGACCTTATTTTGTTTGTGTGAATAAAATGTCAAAACAAATGAAGCTCTCCACAAAGAAACTTGTTCATTGCAGCAGTTACAATAAGATACAACAAAACACAACTGGATGTAAAAAAAATAGCAGTTAGTATGGCTTCAAGAATAACAGAACTGACAATGAAATATATTGTATTAGGGCAGGGTATTATTTGAAAAGTTTCTACACAAGTGCTTGCTTGTGACCAAAGAAAGTATTGAAGTAGCGATGCAGTCCGGTTCCTAGAAGAAAATGTCAAACATGCACAATGTTATAAAGCCCACAGAAATCAATACATATAGAATTTACTGCTAAACGACAGTCTTTTAATGATGGCGATGTATTGTTAATATGTATGTGTGTATATTGTTAAGGCGATGTTCAGGCAGCGGTAGTTGTGCAACATTATCCTAGTGTTCTGTCTATCATGTGAATCACATTATAATATGAAATTAACAACACACACACACACACACACACACACACCATGTTTTTCTTCAACAAGCAAAGGTTAAGATCATTGTAGCTTTTCACTGGGTACATCTGAGAAAGAAATTAACCTAATTCTGTGTAGGTTAACATACAATCTAACAATAATGTTTGATCTGCATAATCTGGTTCGCTTTTATGAAAATCAAATTGTTTCAAATCACATGAATGACCATGAACACGTGATTTTTCGTTTTTTGCTTGCATGGGGTAGATTATTTCGCTTGAGATTCTCAGCCCTAGCACACACATCACAAGACTGTTGTCAATACATATTATTACGCAGTTAATACATTGTGTAAGAGAATGGTCTGCAGTGCATTTATCCAGTCAACTATGGAAGCATTTTGCTGAAAATAACAACATAATGTGTGAGGCTGTAATGACAGACTGAGTTTAGGTAGTAACAGCAATACAATTAATAGCTAATCTATCAGTTGTTGACATTGCTGAGATTTGCATGGTTCTTCTGTTTAACAGTTTTGCTCACCAAAGATCTAAGGTTTTTCTTTTTTTTTTTATCGTATGCTTTCAGCTGTCCAGTAACAAATGCAGTGCGAGGACAATGGATGAGGATGTCACCAGGCTTGCAATACATTCTGAAGAGCCTAAAATAATATTACACGGATCGGGTAATTAGCCATGCTTATATCAATATGAGTTTTTATTTACACAAAGAATGATTGTGGGAATGTGCAAGTTGTGATAAACGTGGTGTTGGGGTTTTTCAAGAATAACTTTGAAGTGTTTGAGTTACATAATCAAAATGTCTGGAATGAGTCATGTCATTTGTAGGAAATCAGTAACAACATTTAATGTAACATTTACAACACCCACACACAATAAACAGCTGCTCTTGACTGTTATCAGGTTAACTGGGTTATCCTGCTTCTTCCAGATGAGGGTGGTGCCGGTGGGCAGGAGTTTGTTGTGGAGCTTCAAGAGACTGTGTTGGTGTCAGAAGGTGAGGGGGAAGGCATGGCGGTTCACAGGTTTGCCCCAGACGAGCTAGTCATCCAGGATGCTGTTGAGGATGTGGTTTCTGAGTATGTGCACTGCGATGAAGATGAAGATGTTGCTGTAGAGACCTGCGTGATGGCTCTCGAGGGCGAGGAGGAAGGTGTTGCCATGGGAGACATCCCTGAGGATGGGCTGGACCCAGAGCAGCAGGAGGATGACCAAGATGGCTGTGGAGATTATCTAATGATATCCTGTAAGTTTACTGGGATTGGATTCAAATGTGCAGTTGCTCACCTTGAAAGCATTAGTAGCCCACAGATCAGGTAGCTATCTGATCTGAAAAAAAGGCATTCAAAACGGATTGGAATGTGATTACACTGAAATTACTCAATTCATTACTGTGTTTGTGTTAAGTTGTGGATAGATGACAGCTGCTAGCTAAACTGTTACTGTTGTAACTAAACTGCTAAAGTGCAGAAGTTGTTCTTCCTCTCGCGTTCTTTGCAGTTTTCACAGAGACATTATCACAGATGCATTACCACAGATATATTATCACATGTTTGCATCATATATGTGGTGAAGCGTAAAAGAAAGTGTGTTAAATGTCGTTCCACTTTTAAAATGATAAGTGTAAATCG